TTTAGGGTGACCCTAAGCCCCCAAGGGTGTGGGGTTGACTTGGGATTTAGGGTCAGGGGTTAGGTAGGGTTTAGGGTGACCCTAAGCCCCCAAGGGTGTGGGGTTGACTTGGGGTTTAGGGTCAGGGGGTTAGGTAGGGTTTAGGGTGACCCTAAGCCCTCCAAGGGTGTGGGGTTGACTTGGGGTTTAGGGTCAGGGTTTAGGTGGGGTTTAGGGTGACCCTAAGCCCTCCAAGGGTGTGGGGTTGACTTGGGGTTTAGGGTCAGAGTTTAGGTGGGGTTTAGGGTGACCCTAAGCCCTCCAAGGGTGTGGGGTTGACTTGGGGTTTAGGGTCAGAGTTTAGGTGGGATTTAGGGTGACCCTAAGCCCTCCAAGGGTGTGGGGTTGAGTTAGGATTTAGGCTCAGAGTTTAGGTGGGATTTGGGGTGACCCTAAGCCCCTACTTAAAGGATCATGGGACTTAGTAAGTAGGCTTATAACTAAGGTAAACTACACTTATAACCCCAATTAGGGGACTTATAACCTTACTTACTAAGTCCCATGATCCTCCAAGTAGACTCTAAACCTTAAACCTTAAACCCTAAACCCTAAACCCCTAGATCCCAAAACACTCAGAGCCCCCTACGAAGGCTGCGAGGCCAAGCGGAAGCCGCCGCCGGCACCGCCGATGCCCACCTTGAGCTCGTCCTCCGACTCAGAGTCGGCGAGCTCCTTCAAGGCCGGTGAAGCGTGACAAGATGAGGTGTACTTAAAGGATCATGGGACCCTCTTAAGTAAGGTTATAAGTCCCTTAATTTGGTTTATAAGTAAATATAAGCATAGTTGCCTTAGTTATAACCCTACTTACTAAGTCCCATGATCCTTTAAGTATAGTGTTCATGTTAAAACGGGGCCTCAATAAGTACCTATATTTTGGGGGTTCCTTACTTAAAGGATCATGGGACTTAGTAAGTAGGGTTATAACCAGGGGTAGCTATACTTATAACCCCAATAAATGGACTTATAGCCTCACTTCCTAGGTCCCATGATCCTCCAAGTGTTCATGTTGAAAAAGGGGCATCAATAAGTACCTATATTATTTTTGGGAGTTCCCCTGATTATAACGATACTATAAAGGACCCCCAAACCCTATTCTCATTATCAAGGCCCCTATATTAATTCAAGAATGGTAGATCACAAGCAGTTTGAATAAGTACTGGCAAACAACAAAATGTGGGAAGCATAACACACGTAACAACTAAGCAGACAGAAGTTTAAATAGCAGTGCCGTTGTTGCGATAGTCAACGACACTATGAACACCAATAGTAGTACACAAGTACTTGACGATGAGAATTATGATCACCTGCGGGGCTTTGCCTTCGAGTGTCGGTGTCAAGAACCTATGAAAAGCGGGGTGCCGGCTGCTAATTCTAATGTTGCAGGTGAGTTCGTTCCTCCTCAACCTCAGCGCACCCACAGCCCAACCACCACGAGACGGCCTCGATTCCAGGTTTTCTCTGCATATTCAAGCAGGTGAGTCGTATCCAAGCGACCCAATGTAAGCACAGCTGCAGAACTTACCATTCTCTCTTTGCTGCTGGTGGTGCTTGTGCTTGTGCCTGTTGCTGTTGCTTGCTGCTGATGCTGCTGTTGCTGCCACTGCTGTTGCTGCTACTGCTGCTGCTGCTGCTGCTGCTGCTGCTGCTGCTGCTGCTGCTGCTGCTGTTGCCGTTGGTCCCCTAACTTAGGGGTACTTAGAAATAATTTTTAATCTTTGGTTACTATAAACCCTAAGAAGCAGCTAAAATTATAATTTTTGCTCGGGGTCTAAGTTCAGAATAGTAAAACCCCAAACCCTAAACCCTAAACCCTAAACCCTTGAACCCTAAACCCTAAACCCCTAAACCCTAAACCCCAGACCCCAAACCCCAAACCCCTAAACCCGAAACCCTAAACCCTAAACCCTAAACCCTACACATCGAGGCCCCCGCACCTGAGAAAGAGACGCCGCCTGCCAAGCGGCCCTCCCTCTCGGAGAGGCCGGGCTCGGCTGTGGCCGTATACCAGTGGAAGGCTAGAAGTACTTGGGTTGCGTCTGGGGATATACTCATATCTATTATGATTAGGATGATGATGATGATTGTTGTTAGGGTTATGATTATTTTTAGTTATATTTCTTATCATTAGGATCATTCGGATTTTTGGGGTCTTGAGGTTTAGAGCCTGACCCGACCTCGATTCTCTTCGCCTTGAATTCTGAAAGTCTCTAACTCCCCTCTGTTCCCTAAACCCTAAACCCTAACCCTGAATCCTAAACCCTAAACCCTAAACCCCAAAACCTTAAACCCTAAACCCGAAACTCCAAAACCTTAAACCCTAAACCCTAAACCCCAAAACCTTAAACCCTAAACCCTAAACCC